CCCCTTGATCGGGACCCATGCTTTTCGTTAAGCCCCTTAAAAAGAAAAGAAACTGAACGAAAGATGGATCCTGATCAGACTGCTCGGATGCGATCCATGCTGGTCGCAAACCCATTATGTTGGTTTTGTCGTGACGCGGCTCATATCATTTATATTAATCTTTCACATTACAATGCAAACTTCTTATCTAAGTGAAAAAAAAACTTGACAAAAAAGTCTTTAAAATAGGCACCATTGTAATCATCTTCCACCGATTTGAATTCGATCTTTTCGCAGACTAGGTCCAAAATGTGAAACCTAACTATTTACCGGAAACATTCGCGCTTTCTCTTTTCACGGAATTGCATGGAATAGTGTCCCGTTGAGTTTCCATGATAGCCACCGAATGACACAGTCACCAACGTACTTCTGAATGTTCATATGATCAATGATCCTTATTTCAGTGTTGATTTTTTTTCCAAGCCGGTGCTAGGGTGCCATCGCTTTGCAATCATTTATTATTTTCATCAAGGCTCACTCAAATCGTGTCTTCTACATTTGTTGTTATGACAACACTTGCTCTTTCCAATTAACTATCTTAAATATAAGTTTTTCTTTTTTAAAATTCAATATAATGGTATGCAATGTTAGAAAAATTAGTTCTGAACTTAACGCAAAAATGTTAGAAAAATTAGTTCTGAACTTAACGCAAAGTTTGACAGAAAATGATTTATTGAATAAGGTATTATTCAACATCTCCTGAAATTTAAAATATATTTAAAGCTGGCTACAACCAACACATTTGAATCGATAACAAATGACTTCCAATGTAAATACTGTCCTTTTATAAGAAATACAAGATATATGGGAAAAAGGTTAATATATAAGAATGTATTAAATAAATATATAATTTCAGAATAATATGGAGGCTATCTTGACAAAACGCATAATGTTTAAATGCCTAGTTTATTTAAAATTCTATTCAATTTTTTTTACAGCCTGACAAATAAACTCAATAGCATTGATTTCAGACGTGAAAGGAATATAATCGATAAGTTTATATAAAAAAACAAAATGTAAATTTTAACTTTTACAGTTGAAAAAGGACAGTAGACACCAGTATAATGTATGCATTGTAATTGAAAAACCAAATAGATTTGTGACTCATTTATATAGTGTGCATTGCAAAAAAAAACCCCGTCTATTGCCACTTTATAATTTTGATAAGTCCATATTATGCTATAAGAAAAGTTCAACATTTAAATCAGCAAAGAATGAATCCTTTTGTCACCGAGGTGAGCAAAATATTGCAAGCTCCTACCGTCCACGCCTAACTCCCCTAACCGCACCCCTGCACCGGCTAACGCAAAATTCAATATCTGAATTTTGTTTAAAGGTATAATTGAAAACATATGAAACATTTGAAGATGTATAGATACAGTGGTAATGATAGAACTGTCTATAAGATAAATAAAATAACGATGTTAAGTTATGTGCAATCTATAAACAATTGCAAATAGACAGCAATTATGCAAAAATGTTTTGCCTTGATATGTATATTAAACAGAACATTTTAACCTTCTACATTAAAATTCTCAAAGGTCGATGAAGGGTGGCAAAATTGAAAATGTCTGTGCCTGATCGGTTTGATTCAGCCTTTTTAGTGTCTAAAGAGGCTTGTTCAAGGTACCACCCATCGCCTTGAATGAAATTACAAATTAAAATTTAATTTAGTAGAATTATAAAAAAGCATCATCATATTTTTATACGGTGGTTAATTGTCATAGAACTTTCATGTTGACAATTTTGTGTCAGATTGTAATTAGGAATTAACAGAATATGTGTACCTAAAACAATAAACGCTTGAAAAGAATATTAAAAGTGTGCCAGAGGATATGCTGTATGTACAGTGTGTTTATTCAACACTCTAACTGATCTACCATTTCCACTAGCCATATATTCATTGACTTTTTTTGTACATTTTCAGATCGGAAGAATTAATTATAGTCGGTGGTCAAAGGTCGTTATATACATGCATAGATATCAGACAAACAACTGACAACAAACTTGTCTACTACCAAGCAACACGTAATTTAACTTTTTATATTATCCAAATATAAATATAGTTTTAATGTGTATCATCCAAAGTATTTTTTCAACTTTTTATCCATTTTAAAGCATTTTAATATGAATTGCCAATGCGACATTAGAATACATGCCTATTTCTTTTGATTTTTTGAATCTTAAAATCAAGCATTTCTTTGCTTCTATTCTATTTGCAATTGTGATCTCACAAAATTAAGGAAAAGAAAGAGCATCGAAACACGAGGTACGAGGGGGCGTAGCCCTCGAGTATAAATCAGATTACCAAGTGTTTTGATGTTCTTTCTCTTTTGTATCATAGTCAAACATAAAAACACGTTCCTATTGTCACAATATGAAACCCCGGGAAAAAGTAACCAATGAACGAGCATCTGAATATGATATTTCTGTCGCTTTCCCTTTCTCTTCCGTCACAATAAATAAACCCCAGCCAAAAAGAGCCAATAAATGGGCATGCTCTGAAGTGCGGGTAACTTATACCTGCACTCCAGTTAACGCACTGTGCATGTATATGTATACGATTTAACCCTGACACATTTTCAACAGAAAGGCCCCCAAACTATGATACAATTAAAAAAAATTACTTGTATGTTGCTTGTTGTTTTGTTTTACCTTATGCATACAAAACAACTTCTTGCGTATTGGGCGTAACATGTGTTAAGTTTTTTTTATGAAAGGAACAGAGTAAAAAAAAATGTTTATCAAGTATCAGGTACATAATAATTATTTATTTGTACATATATTGTACATGTTAATACATAAATAGTACATATTATAAATCTTGACATTGGAAAAATAAGCACATTATCGCAAATTCTTATTTGCGAGGATAACTGTTTTTTTAATTATAAGCAATATGAAATATCAAATTAAGCAAAGTTTTCTCATCCAATCTTCACAGCTTCATTTTGAAATAGCTCAATAATATCGTTTTTGTCCCAAGTAACTATGATTACTACTGTTCAGGTAATATAACCGATGGTTTTCTGTTCAGGTAATATAACCGATGTTTTTCTGTACAGATTATATAATCGATGGGTTTCTATTCAGGTTATATAACCGATGATTTTCTGTTCAGGTTATATTACCGATGATTTTCTATTAAGGTAATATAACTGATGGTTTCTGTACAGGTTATATAACCGATGGGTTTCTTTTCAGGTTATATAACCGATGATTTTCTGTTCAGGTAATATAACCGATGGTTTCTGTACAGGTTCTATAACCGATGTGTTTCTATTCAGGTTATATAACCGATGATTCTGTACAGGTTATATAATAACCGATGATTTCTGTTCAGGTAATATAACCGATGGGCTTCTATGCAAGTTATATAACCGATGATTTTCTGTTCAGGTTATATAACCGATGATTTTCTGTTCATGTTATATAACCGATGGTTTTCTGTTCAGGTAATATGCTTACTACACCATTAAATTGCTTTGTTCTGTTATTGCAGAGGCGGACCGGTCCGGTTTTCAGTTTACAATACAATCTGTGTATGACAATGTATGCAACACTGACTCTTATGTACAGCCATACAATTACCATATCGCTCTAAAATCAGGTAAGATAAGACAAACAAAAATATATGCTATGTTTATTTTCATTTTATAATGATGCATTGACACCTGAAAGTAAAAAACAGCACTGTCTATTAACGACATAATGAGAATGAAATAAGATAAAAGTCAGACAAATTTTATTTGTTCAGTATAACAATAATAACAGAGTAATATAATCCGCGTTGAGAGCATCTATATATAAACTTACATGGATTATAATGTATTTCAATAGGTTATAATGATAATATTAATCCTTAGCATTTAAAGGAAAGTTTGCATTTCGGAAGGCTATGTCGTTCGCATCTTTTTAACTGCATATATATACACACAGTATAATATAAAGTGAGCTTATCTAAATGTGATTAAATCTGACAAAAACAGAACATTGCATTACATTTCATTACATTACATTACATTACATTACATTACATTACATTGCATTGCATTACATTACATTGCATTACATTACATTACACTGCATTACATTACATTACATTACATTACATTGCATTACATTACATTGCATTACATTACATTGCATTACATTACATAACATTACACTGCATTGCATTACATTACACTGCATTACATTAAATTGCATTACATTAAATTACATTACATTGCATTGCATTGCATTACATTACATTACATTGCACTACATTACGATGTCCTTGAATGATTGGTATACGCGCATGTATTCAAACATACAACATTCACGTTTACGTTGAGATAAAATTCAGATTAGTGTGTTAAATTTTAGACAAGTTTGGATTAAAATATCAATCGGAAAAAAGCAAATATTTGCATCGATTCCATAACAAGAAAATATATGCTTCAATAAATAAGAATGTAATTATGCATACGTATTATTTAGGATACTGTATTGTATGTTCACGTTATAAATCGATTATAGATTGTACGTTTACCCAAATGGTATAAAATAGGAAATCGGATATTACAATTATGTTTGTATTTAGAGCTGCTATCGATTTTGTAATATTTAGTTAAAATAAATTTGTACATACCACTTTATAAAGTCTTTATTTGATTTTATTGCTCTTTAAGTTTTTATAGTATGGTTCTACCAATTCTAATATATAGCTCTGAGGTATAGGGTGTTTATAAGGCACCTGACATTAAAAAGAAACATTCATTTGAAAAATTTGAAACAAAATTTGGTGCACGCCAAGCCTACAGACAGTTGCAGTTGTTGTTGATTTATCATTCTTTGATTGATTCGCCAAAATGTTACAAAGCGATGATTATGAAACTTACGTTTTTTGCCAATAAAATATTCCACTTAATTTGGCTGCCTAGCTCGGATAACTAATATCATTTGGCACACAATAATTATTGGAGAGAAAAACAAAACAAAACATAAAAGCACATGTCATGCAGTTGACCAAAAACGAAGTTAGGTAAGTTATGTATCCAAACCAAAATTCCACAAACCATTATATTAAATGGACAACGAACATATAGATCAATTTGCAAATAAAGGTTTCTGATTTTAGTCTCTCTCACTCATTTCTTTTTCTATTGCTTGAAGTACAACAAAACAGACCTAGATGAGTGATGTTATCCATTATTTTATTCTAGGTTCGGAGACAAGTGCGCTGCAAAACTGTCCAGCTGATTTGTTTGGGTCATACAATTATGACACGTGCATTGATGTTAATTCCAACAGCACGAGTTTAAACGTTTGTGACACGAGGCAACAACTTATCTTTAATTACACGTTATGCAACACACCGCAGATGTTTACATGTAAGTAAAAGTGTCTTAAACATATATATTTATCTTATTACTATTGAATATTTGAATGAATTTGGCACTGTTCATTAAAAGTTAAGGAGTTTAACCATCTAAATACATGTAGTCACCACAGGCATGTTTGATTTTTGTCGTTGCCTGTGCTCGCTAGTATATCAAGCTTCGACGAATTAGCAATATTTTAAATACTGCAGTCAAACCTTTTTTTTGTATTTAAGACCACTTTTCTGTAAATAAAAACACTGTTCGACAAACCCATAAAAGCCATGTATGGTCTATCCTTTGGATTGTCTTGATTCACAGGTTTGACTGTATATTGAAATGTTGATATGAATCCTCGGTTTCTACATTTCAATTCCACGAGAGAATACTGCATGCATTTATTTCTTAGACACTTATTGTATTTCAAGCAAATTTATATTCCTGTAACAGTTTTGTGTACGTTTTGTCCGGATGTATCTGAAAACAGCCAACCATGCGATTCATATATAGTTCATATTGCTTTCTTATTAAATTTTAAGACATGTAATAATCTAAGTTTGAAGATAGAACTCAACTCTAGTTTAAATTCAAAAATGTATTGTTTTATTTGAAATAAAAAGAAAACACAACGTTTCGACTTAAAAGTCTTCATCAGGTATACTTAGAATAGAAATTTAACACGTATATGTATATTTTAGTGGAAGGTGTGTTAGACTGCGTACATCATGAGGAAAGTGGATCTATCTCCTATCTGACACTATACAACAGAGACAGTACTGCACCGGATAATAACAATTACTACCGATTTGTATGTTTGGTAGGTATACAAATCTATCTGTTTTTTATTGTATTTTTGAATCCGTGTTTTAAATCAGTGTTAGGGGGGGGGGGGGGTTGCATTTCCTATTTCCTTTATAACATCCAGTCTACAATTTTCAACTAAATGTTTTTTTTCCTTTTCGCAGCCTTCAATTCCATGACTTATCTGAAATTACTGCGCCCAACACCGTTAAAGGTTGTTTTTTTGCGCATAAACACGTTCACATAATGATGAGAAGCATATTCTGCTCGCATTTTCTCGTGGGAGGCTGTGTACAGCACGACGAGGTTTAGAATAAGTTGTATTTCTGTATCATTTTTTTCTAGTCCGTTATCATATAGAAAAGGAAAGATACGAGGTATGATCAAAAAGTTCTCGGCCCGATATACTTCTAGCCACTACACTGACATTTACACACGATACGTCGATACCGATATCTTATTGAAGATTACTGACCGAGTTACACGGTTTTACACAGATTAAGTAACATAAAACACACTTTGATCAGTAGAGGGGTGTGTCATTTAGACCAAATGGAGAAAGTTGAAATCAGAGCCGTCATTAAGTACCTCTGTAAGAAAGGGATGTCCCCCAAGGAAATCCATGAAGACTTCATGGATACACTTGGGAAAGAGTCCCCTTCCTATAGCACTATGAAAAATGGGCTACTGAATTTAAGAGGGACAGGGAGAGCATTGGAGAAGATGAGCGACCTGGGCGGCCAAAAAAGGCCACCGAGGAAACTGCCGAAGCTGTGCAAGATCCGATCTGGTCATGTGCGACAGGAAGGCGAGACCTGCAATGCTTTGCTCTAGGGAAGTGAGTATAAGCAATTCTGACTGGTGTCTATGGCATGTCAAAGGTTTCCACTAGATGGGTCCACAGACAGTTTACTGACGACCAGAAACGGAACAGGCTTGACATTTCAAGATATCTTTTGTCTCGCTATGAGAATGAATCAGATTTTATCTACTGGATCGTAACTTAGGATGAAACATGGGTTCATCACTTCGATCCATAATATAAAAAACAGAACATGCAGTGGATGCACCCTGGCTCACCCCCTCCGAAGAAATTCAAGAGGGTGTCATCAGCAGGGAAGATGATGGCTTCATTTATTTGGGATAGTCAGGGGATAATCATGATTGACTATCTTAAGCAAGGTCATACCATAAACGGTACGTACTATGCAGACGAACCGACACATCTGCGTCAATAAATGACGCGTAAACGGAGGGGCAAATTGACTCAAGGCGTTCTGCTCATGCTGGGCAATGCACCAGTTCACACATCCCAAGTTGGTTTTGATGGCTGCTGCAACTGACTGCGGCTTTGAAATTCTTCCCCATACCTCATATTCTTCGGACTTGGCCCCCTCTGACTTCTACCTGTTTCCAAAAATGAAAACCAAGCTTCGTGGTAGACGTTTTGGAAGCAATGAAGGCGTGATGGAGGCGGTCAATGAGTTCTTTGAGGACCAAAAAAGAGAGTTCTATTTTGAAGGGTTAAACAAGTTGGAGCACAGGTGGGCAAAGTGCATTGATGTAGAGGGCGATTACATTAAAAAGTAAGACCATTAGTTGGGTTCTCTGACTACTGGAAGAACATCGGGCCAAAAACGTTTTGATCAATTTGATCAATCCTCGTATTATTATATCTTTGTTATTGGGTCACTCATAAAACCTTCCCAACTTTATGCATAGACAGATTATTTTCTCTCAAAAAAAGGTACCAGAAGTGTTTTATTAAACTTCAACTAATGATTTAAACTCACTACACACATTACCCCTTCAAACCATAACCTGCTGGGGCTGAAAGTGATCAGCAGGTGTCATCAGTATAGAGCCAGGTCAAAATACTTCTCCAAACAGTGTACCAAAGCCTTACAATATTTGTAGCCTTTTTAAAGATTTGCCTTCGAACTCCCTTAAACTGTGCAGTAACAGTTCATAGTTTAAAGCAATGAACGTTTACCAGATTAGTAGTTAAATTATAAGGTCACCATTTAAATTAAGAGACTTTTCTGACATGCAAGAAATGAAATAATAACATTCTTTTACACCCTTTTTTTAATTTTTTCATACGTTTGAAATTGATTCTGAATATAAAAACATGTTTGCAAGTTTGGTCTTGTAACAATTTATTGTCGCCCCATTTGATTTAACTTACCGTAAGTTTGACTTAATGCTCATGTTTTCTCTTACTTGACAGATGTAATGTTATCGTGTTGGTTTATTGTAGGCTGTTGTGCTGTCTGTAGGTGTTGTGTACGTGACACCTAGTCCTAATTGAGCTAGTTTGCTTAACTTGTGTTGATAATTTTCAGGCTGTTGTGTTGTCTGGCGGTGTTGTGTACGTGACAGCTAGTCCTAATAGATGTAATGATAACCAGAACGCTACTGCAATAGCTAGTCCGGGAGAGACGCTGCAACTTACGTCATACTGTAAGCTTATTATAAAAATATTTCTATGCAGGCTTCATAACCTCTGATCCTTTTTCAAATTCCATTTTGTTTAGTTCAGCCCATTGTTTTCTCGTTCAGTGCAAACGCTTTCTATTACTTGGGGATCATACGCCACTTTTCATTTGGAATGGCACTTGGTGTAACATTAAAGGTTCATTGATAATCGCCGTATGATTACATCTGCGAATGTTTCGAAAATCAAAATTTCACCATTTTCATGTTTAAATGTTGAATTTTGCATAATCCGGTGCTAGAGGGCGTGAACGGTAGTTTACACTTGACAGTACCGTCCATGAACAGGTTCAATCAAACCGAACCTGCATCATTTTCAATTTTGCCCGTTTGGACTTTCTTTAGGTCTTTATTCGATTATGCTTTACAAGGAATTCGTTTCATGTGTGGATACAGGTCGATCTAATCATTTTACTTACTATTTATCTTATTGCAGAAGTTCATAGTGAGTCGGAGGAACATTTTAACGATGCAATTTATAAATGGAAGACTTGCGTTTCAGCAAAAAAAGAACAAAACAAAAAAAAAGAAAGAAAAAAAAACATATCCTGTGTAAAATTGATATAATTATACTTGTGTTCTACTTTGAAATCTTTCAATGATTGATCACTTTATCTAAAAACGTTATATTTCTTGAAAAATTACTTCTAATTTATAGTTGGCAGTAATCGTCTTGATCTTTTTACTTATTTAGTAGTAACTATGAATCGTTTCTGGGCATATCGGACTCTTATTACACATTTTCTTTAAAATGTATTCAGATAATTGCCAATTCGATAGCTTCATAATACTGTTATATGTTTAATGAACGAGCTTTTTACATTATATTGAGCATTAAATTTGTATTTATTTTATTAGGACTCATTGTTTTTGTTTTAGCCATCTACAAAATTACTAATATATCCTCTTTTTCTTCAATTTCAGACCTATGCCGTGAGTACAGTTGCCTTATTTGCCATATAGTTATTTTAAAATGCAACTTTTAGCAACCTTTAAAAATATAATGAAAATTTATCATCTTTTGGCATTTACTTGTTTCATTTTACTGACTTATGTCTATGGTATGTATCTATCATAATAAGTAGTTTTATTATATATTGACTTTTAAGTAGAGGTGCACATTGTTTTCTAAAAAGACACCTCGCATATAAAAGTTAACGAAATTTTACAAAGAACATCGTTGTGAAAGTGAGTGCAAATAATCATACATTAAAAAAGATCATTACCTGTACCCCAGAACTAATGACATTTACTCACGTTGAGTTTCATTGTCAAAAGAACAAATGAATTCATGTGGAGAGCCTTTTCAACAAGCTTAAGCAGAAGTCTTAGGTCACAGAAAAGAAATCTTCATAAGTCTTTGGCTTCCTTTTCAATCCTGTTTTATAATTATATTTTGTATAATCTTGTTGTATAATAATTGTATATGTCTGCATTGTATGAAATAAATACTATTTAAACCCAGTTTTAGGTCGATATACCCGAAATTGTTGCCTCTCTTGTCTCTATTATACAATACAGTGTCCATATCCAACCTCAATCGTTAAAAGTGGAAAATATCCTTAAGATCACGTGGTCCATGACAGATCATGTTAGGTTAATGCTCATTCAGTGTTATAACTCTTGCACAGGACATTTCATATACAGTATCCAACCTCAATCGGTAAAAATGGAAAATATTCTTAAGATCACGTGGTCCATGACAGATCATGTTTGAGTTGATGCTCATCCATTTTACTCAAATATTTCAGCTATTACCACAGAAGAATCATCAAGTACGAACATACTGCCTATTATAATTGGTGTTATTGTGGCATTGCTCATTCTCGCACTCATCGCCCTGATAATCTACTGCTGCTGCAGACGCAGGTGCAAGAAGAAAAAGGTAAGATGAATTTTATATTCACCATTCTAACACGCTTCTAACTAATCCTCTATCAAACAGATGGAGCAATCAAGTGCATTATAACACGATATATATCATAAAAGTCATTACTTACAGACTATATATCGTCATTTGGTTTATTCATGAAAATTGCTTTTACGCTCAATGTAGTTCAACATATTTTTTATCAATTCTCCTTTTAATATTTTTGCATGTAAGACTGGAAAAAGATACTATTCTTTGCATTATAGTATGATAATGCACGGTTTATCGTTCAAATGTTGTCGGACTTCGTGTATTTAGCGCAAATCATGGCATTTTCCTTTTGCTGGGTAATATATACACACGTACTGCCTGCTTATTTATACTTCACACGTACAGTAAAAAACAGATTAAACACTATTTATTTACAACAGACTGACGAAGAACAAGCGCTGTCAGACTCCGAGAGTGAAGATGAAGACCAGAAGAAACAAGATAGCCGAAGATCTTCTAAGTCTAGTCAAGACCAAGATGAAGAAAACAAATCCATCGACTCTGGCATAAGGTATTAACAAGATAAAATAATTTCTAGTATGATTGTTAACACTGCGCATTGAATGGTTCGCCGATTATAGTTACAGGGGAAATAATCGACATGCAGTCGATTGGGAAAGAAACTTTAATTTATTCCCTTGCTTTTGAAATCGATTTGTTTCTCCGAGTTAAGATATTTTGCGTTTATTCTATTATTATACATCAAGAGATAGGTAAGATAAGTGATATAGCAGCAACATTTTAACGATTATTATAGGTATATCATGTAGATGGATTCATAGACTTGTTGGTCAAAACAAGACGGTAAGGAAAAGAATTGTATACACAGTGCTTCGGATGAACCCCAGATTATATCACTTGTGCTTGACAACATAATTATATAAGAAGGTGTAACGAATTCTCTCGACGTTAGAATTTATATATAGACTTTGCGGCAGCTAATAAGATTGTCCGTGAAAACAAAATTTTACATATCCATAAGAAAATGCATGATTTTTTTTATCTATTTGATATATTTGTTGATTAAAACACATAATTTATTACAATTTAGACAAACGGAATGATATTTATTATTTTATATCGTACGACTTTGCCTTGTCGATCTTTATTCTCGGTTGTTGTTTTTTTTTACAGTGAACCACCTGTTACTGGAAGGACTGATTATAACAATGAGTTTGATGGTGATACAAAGGACGAGGAAAGAGAATTGGTAATAAATGCTGAGGGTGATAAGGAAGTTGAAGATAAAAATTCGAGACCATGTTCAGGACAGGTACTTAAACGAATGCAATGCAGTGGTTTAATATGCGCGGTATTGAATCAGTAAATTTTTTTTAAAAAATCATATGCGGAATCAATGTATTTTGTTTCAATTGGAAGTTTCAATACCGCGCGAACCAAGTTTTAGCTAACCCTTTTAGCACTGTTTTGAAGAAATCTTGTTTTAGTTTGGCTTGCAATGGAGTGTTTTTTTCTAATGCATCTTAATGCTTTCTTGTATCATATTGATTTTTTAACTTTGTAACCAATCCCCACCATTCAGTTTATCTACCTATTTTGTGTCTTTGTTATTATTATTTTTCATAAATTTTTCCTACATTAAACAAGCATTAAAAATATGTAATTGGTCATGTTTGAAAGGGATATTTTTGTAAAATCTATTTGATAGTGTTTTTTGCAATTCTGTTGATTTAATTAATTGATCGATATCTAAATCAATAACGATACTACGCAGTACATTGTACAATGTTTCTTTTTTATCCAAACCGAAAGAGGTGGATCCACCATGCTAACCGTACAATTATAATTCTTACAATTTGATGAGAAAGAGCCATATGTTTTACTAATTCTCTTCCAAACATGACCAAGCAAATTTTAATTAAGGATCCGAATAAGAGGAAAAAGAAAATAACGAAAATATCTTTTTTGAAAGCCAATAAAAGTTAAGTTTTATTTCAATTACTTTTCAGCGGCAAACTGATGTAGGTAGCATGTCTAAAATATACATGTACATTTGGCACTTATAATAAGATATTTTATATGTAGAAGTCGGAATTATTTATGTTTAGTTTTATGTGTTATTCGTTTTTTTTATATTTACAATGCATGTTATAGATAATGTTTGCTAACTGTTTTAACCAGAAAATAACAATAATTGCAATTGATAGGTTTTTAGTTTTCTATCTTTATAGTTTCCCGGATAACATATGGAAAAACTTACATATTTTTGAAACCATTGTCACCTTTTAACAAACTTTTAAAAAATGATATAACTTAAATTATTTTCAAATATAAATATAAATTTTACTTATCCACCCAGAAATATCATTATCTGACACAAATCCCAATATATAATAATTGCACGTATTAATTTTACAATTGTCATAATAAAGTGCAATTAATTAAACTACAAATCAAAACATATTAGCCATTTCATGAAATGTCAATGTCACTTTTCTACAATATAAAATGAACTTAGAAATATGAAGACCACTCAAAAGATTACCACGGCTCTTTCCTGGGATAGTTTAGGCAAATGCAAGAAGGTCAAATATTTTTTCTGGAATATCAAAGTTACTACATAGAATATCTTGGACATTTTCTATATGACCAATTGATATCTCTTTCTAAATGAATCAGTCACAATCCTGAATGGTGTTATTGCAAAAGGGAAAAATTGCCATAACTCTTAAGAATAAGACTTCCTACCAATCAAATTAGAGACTATTTCTAGCTTGTTTCCGGTGGGTAAACTTAGGAAGATATAAAAGAGTATATGTTTCCATAGCTGGCCCAAATGATGCTTTGAAGATTTTGACAAGTTTGTTGAAAAAAACAGCCCGATAAATCAAAAGTGTAAAATTATCTTTTATGTCAATGTATGATTTTAATGATATTAAAAACTAAACAAACGATGTCTTGCAAACCTTACATTTTTACTTTGTTTCTTGTCGTTAAGTTTGATATCATTTCTAATTGATTTTTTAACTACACACATTTATGCATAGCTTTATATCTTGCCATGTTAATGTTTTCTTCCAGCAAGATAGCTTTTTTACACTTAATACAATATGTATACTTGTTAACATTTTTCATATTGTTTTTTTAGTATAATTGCTTGTTGTATATTCATAATTGCATGGTATGTACATGTATATTTGCATTGCACATTTTTTGTTACACTGTAACCCATTTTGCACTTGCATCATACATGTATTTGATTTGATTTTGATTTTCGTGTGTATTATATTTTGAATGTATAATTTGTTTTGCTGTGTTACATAAACTATAATATACGCCTTTTTATCATATACTTATAAATGAAATATTTAGAGATAATAATGAAATAATGTGCGTATTACCATTTTCCGTATTTTCACTGTAAAAATTATTTTTCACTGCAGTGAATCATATTTTCCGTATTTTCACTGGTGTCTTCTGGGACTGTTTTCTTCTAAATTCAGTCAGAATACAGATTTCAGGGAAGTCTATCAAAATTGTAATATCAAAAAAAAAAACAAAAACAAAAAAAAACAGAAAAATGTATACAATAAAAATAAGTATTTTCTATAAAAAAAAAGATTTATATTAATCTTGTAGTATGAAAAATATGATATTTTACTCGTGGTTACCACCACTCATGAAATATTTATTTTCATGCCACTCGATGAAAATAAATCCTGTATTTATAGAAAAAAATCTTGAATATCCACTATGTATTGCTTTGTATTATAACTTTCTGTATTGAAAAGCCATACATTATAATATACATGTATATATGATCAATATTTTTACAAAATGTTTAGAAAAAAGAAAATTGAACGCCAAATAGATATATGCAACATTCAAAATAGTTCATATGCTCGACATTTATTTGTTCAGGGAATATTTCTTTTGAAAGCATAACTTTGCAACAACAATTTTGACAATTTATGATTACAAATATGATAGATAATGATTGATGAATGCCACAAATAAATCATTTTAAAATCATAATACTCAAATTAAATTAATGTCTACTAAAAATATAACAAGAAATCTTAAAATCTTAGTATTTAGTGAAAGATAAATACTCTGCATTATTTATTTATTTATCTATTTAAGTACTGTAACACACCAAACCTACCGAAAATAAACTGATTTTTAAAATTCTTATCTTTCTTCAGTAGGTACTTATAACTATTTGATTATACTACTTTCAACGGTTGGAAGGTATCGATGCATGATATCATGCGATTAATATCCGATTGCCGACCGCAATCAATGGGAATTGGGGACAGTTTGTTTAAATAGTTACAAAATAGCAATATCGATAATGTTTATCTAAATAGTTTAACAGGTGTATATATCTAAATTGAAAAAAAAAATGAAAACGAGAATTGATCTTGTGTTAATACTAAATCATCTGTGTTTTTATTTGTCAAGCACGTTGATATGCTTTATTTGTTTTTGGTTTTCATTTTCGATTTCTTTGGCCTACTCGAAAATTCATATTGTTTCACTTGCGTACATTGTCGTATTCTCTAGGTGTTAAATTATTTCCTATTTAATAGAAGACTTTTGATGTAGACTTTAAGATATTAGCCCTAGTTATGCAGTCATTATGATTATGTAAACGTAAGGAAAAACACAATTTTTAAGTATCAAAGGCTTCCGAACTTTTGTTTAACGTTTATTATCATAAAATAACTTAATTGTATGCAAGTAAATAACACATTGAATTTGAAAAACAAATCAGTTTATGATTAAATTAGATTTTATTAGCGAGAACAAATGTGTCCACGTGCATTGTGCGAAAAAAATAGTGATTCCGTCCGAGGGATTAAATTTTGTCCAGATTTTTATTGACATGTTTCGCATTGAATGAAATATTAAATTAAGATATTCTAATAAATCTTTCCTTGTTGGCAATAATTCATTCGGCTCCATACGACCAGTTTATACCAAGGTCAGCCGCCACATCCATGTCGTCTGATGATGATCTGTATTTTCGCTACTCAGTCAGTACAATTGTTTCAGTCAGCCTGTACTACGGAAAAATTCTGTCTAATAATGCACCAATGAATGTCAACTCTTTTTTTATGGCGATCTTAAAAGGCATTTTAATCAGCAAAGAAAGTTTCTTGATTAAAAAAAACCTTAACAAGTCCGCACCTTTACATCAGAAGTGTGTTAGTCCGGGTATACTTTAAAGTTGTAAATTGTTGCCTTCGTAAATATATAATGAAACATTATATCTATACTATGGTTTCAGACGCAAATAGTCATTATTGAAAAGCTCATGAATATCGTAAATAAACAAGATTTAAGTGGTCCCTAACGTTTACAATGTTCCCTAAAATATTTCGTTTCAATTCTAAGTGAGATAAGTGATAAATTAGAGGATATTCCACAAGAATTTACAAAAACCGTACACACATCATTATCTCAGGCAGTAAATATATTTAAAATACAAAATGTTAACCTTTCAATTTCAGACAGTGGAAATATAGCTTTATACCTTTTAACATATTAGAAGTATTTGTATATTTAACATGTTTAAAGTACTTGTGCTTTTGTTTTATATTCACTTAATTTATCTCAATAGCCTAAGCAAATGTCGTGTCGGTAAACGTGGAGACGACACGCATCTAATATTTATTGATACCAAATATTTAGAATTTAATTGACGGTTAGACAGGTTTACAATTTTCATATATTCCCTATAACAACGGGGTAATTTCTTTACAATTCGATTTTTATTATTATGCTTTATGATTTCAAGGTTTCTAAATATGCCATTTATGAGATCGATTGATTTATCTTTATCATAGATCCCGTCTATATATATTTGCTCTGGAGTAGTGAATTGAATTAAATTTTCAATAGTGCAGTACATTTTTTCATTGAAATACAGAATACCTAGTATACCCTCATCTATTATCATTATTAAAACCCGGTTCAAGTGGCGCTCACTATATTTTCACTACATATTGAACGTACGTACTTGGGTGTTTTCGAATAAATTTCAATACCGTTTTAAACTTGGATATTGTTAAGAGATTAAACTTCGTTTAAAGATGTTTTAACATACTGTACATGGTTTTTTAAGTAATGGGATGCATTTAAAACATGGATTAAAAAGAATATGGATGTATCTTGTTGCATAAAAGAACATATTTCAGCACGGAGTTTAAATATCTTTAAAAGCTTTTATCTAAGATTTTTACTGACTTTAAAAGTATCAAAAGATTTGTGCATTGATTTGTTTATTGGGGATAAAGATTTATAAGTAACAAAAAGTTTCATGTTTTAGCGATCTAGAATGTCGGATTTGCCTCCCAGCACGATACCCCCGGAGGAAGACCAACCTCTCTCACAGAGAGATGAAGAGGTATGTTGCTATGGAAATAAAAAATCTAACTTTCTGTGTGTAAATCTAAGAATGTCTCATAAAATTCTGTTTGTTCCGATGACTGTAAAGACATGGTAAATTGATGAGTTTTGGTAGAACATATATAATAATACGCAATGATATTATAAAATTAGCTGTATTTGAAACCTTTCTGTCTAATAATTTTATTCTTGGTGCCAAAACTGTCAATGATAACAAGGGTATAGAGGGTTGCTAGGACAACACGGTCCGTGAATCCTTCAAAGAAACACAAAATAATTGTAAATTGTGAAATAACCATCACATGTTACATAATATAAGTTTTGATGTCGAACCGATTTTTATGCATATCATCTATTACATGAAATTTAACTATGTCCTGTCTTCATGTCTAGTATGCTGTATTGTTAATGTATATTATAAAGTTATCATTGAACAGTATAAATTGTTAAAAAAGGAAATTGGTAAGTGTGGTAACGGTATGGGTATGCTACCTGAATGGAAAAGAAGAACTAAGTTTATAAAGTAATTCTGCGCAGTCGGGCCCATCTTTAATATTGTCGGTGTTTTGGATACTTTCTTTAAATCAGCGAATGGGCCATTCTAAATTTTATGTTTGGCAAGTCCTACATGCAAATCAGAAAATAAATTCATTGCATCTCAAATATCATTGACAGCCTATTCAATTGAGGTTCTTTCAATTTTATCAAATAAATAATCAAAACCAATCGTTACAGTCAATTGTCAATTGCTAAATTTTCGTTTTATGTTCATAAAAAAGTTGCTTTCAAATTATGGTACTTTATATATTATTATTACCATCAATCACTAAGTTAATATCAACTGCTTTTTGCTATTAAAATATAAGATACCCTATTACAATGACCTTTGAATACTTTAAATGTTAAACTTTTCTATTGACACAAGATATAAAACAGATTGATTTCCATTCATTTTCCCGTGAAGCGTTCGTACAACAAACCTTAGCGTAATAATAACATAGCACCAATTGCAATTAATCCAAGGTTAAGATTTTTGTCAAACTAAGAAAATGACATTAAAGAGTTAGATAACAATAATCCATGTTTACACAAAATCGCATATTGTATTTGCTGAGCGAATGTAGTCACGACCTGAAATATTTAAAATCAATGTACAAAAATGTATATATATCTGAATACAAATGATATATATAATGGTTTACATTAAGATAAACGTATACATGTGCTAACAGGACCACATAAATGAAGATGATGTAGAAGATAGAGCGAGTGAAAAGACTGGGGATCCTGAACAAACGGAAGATATTGAAGATGAAATAGACCAAAACAAAACTAATGAGGAAGTTGTAGAAGAGGATGATGACGCAGAGCCAGAAGAAGATGATGATGATAAGCAGGAGGAAGAGGATGAAGATGAAGTAGACGGAAAAGAAGAAGCAGGAAAAGAAAGCGATAAAGAGGATGTTGAGCATGATGATAATGATGAAGAAAATGAAAAGGATGTGGAAGAAGAAGATGGAATAATTGTACCTCTTAAAGATCAGGACAATCAAGAAGATAATGCTGATTCTGAACAGAAACAAGCTGAAAGCGACAAAGAAGATCATATTGAGTCTGAAACAGATCAAAAGGTGACTTCTCTTCAATTGCATAAAATATATATGATATCAACAAAATTCATAGCCATAAGCGGTATTGTTGATTGTCCAGTTCATGTTAAATAGTATTTTTGTGTATTTATCTTTTTCTGTATAAATTGCATATGTGTATAAACCATTGCACGCCAAACTTTAACATCGAAATGAACAAATCGTTTACTTTGTGCAAATGATTCCATTGTATCCTGAACATGGGCTATATATTCAGTGATTTATTCATTATCTATAACTACGAGTTTAACAGTTATGTTAAGGCTTTAGTATATACATTTTACTTAGATAATTGAGTGGTAAACTCTTATGTTAATCGAGCAAATATTTATTTAGCATATTGTTTTTCTCTAATGGTCGTTGCGGAAAGTCAAGTGTTAGTTGTTTTCTTAATCACATATTTCTAATCTGAAAATTATTTAGACGAACTTTTGGGTAATTTACAGGAAATCAATAAAAAAATAACATGTATTCATAAGTACTTACTATCTGCCCAAATTTACACCTAAAATGAAGCACTTAGTTGGTTCTTAATCTCAATGGTTAATTCATATTAATGTACATTGTGTTGAATTTGGGATAATGGGCTAAAATATTTTTGTAATTTAGTTAAAATGTATGTTGCTTTTTATTTATGAGATACTTGATAAGAATCTAAAACGTCTTCAAATATCGCTATTCACAAGCTTTTTATCACGCGTTTTTGTAGCTTAACAACTTCGGTTAAATTTTATAGACAATTTAGTATTAGTACGTACTTAATCCGCACGCGTAATATTTTATTTCATTTTGATGAAAAATTGCAAGTTTAGTTGCGCTTTTGAAGACAGCTTTTTAAAAGTGCAGTATTCGTTGTAGGCACTTTTGTTTTGAGTTTTTATTGAAAATATACGCTCGCTTTTCATATAAAATGATTGTATAACTTATTACATGCTACATTCGACATAGGGGGACACAGATCGAGAAAACTCGGATGAAGATGACGCCAAATCTGAGGTAATATTTGATAGATACTTAGAGTACTTGTTTTAAGTATGGAACTTGAGCCAGCTTATAGCAACAATTGTATAACTGTAATAAATTCACATGTAGACAATGTCAACTTTTCGATCGAAAACATGGATTTAAAAATTTAATAACAATAAATTAATGTATGTCTGTTGAGTTAAAAGATTGTCATAATAATGAAACTCAATACAAATTACTCGCAGTGATATGGGTAGATTATTTTTGATTAATAGGACTAGAAAACCTTGATGTTGTTCTCGGTAGTTGAACATTCCTATTTCACAGAAGGTCAGGCATACAATTTTAACACCTAATAACAGTAGTTATTGTCTATTAAAGGACATCTGACCCAGAGTTTGTAATAAAAACCACTTAATAAAGGCGTACATTAAACTGATATCGATATTCCGTAACTTCATAATTTCACTTTAAAATGCCATGTCAACATCGAGCCTTGTTATGTATGGCACATTTGCTTAATTACATTAATATCGTCAAGAGTGTGTTCAAAATGACAAACACTTTTTCAATGAATAAATATGACATTATCATTTTTCTATTTGCTAAAGGATCATGAACAAACGAAAGAAATGGAAAACGCGGCAAGTCAAAAGGTTAACAAAAGTTTATTATTGTTATTCCTCTTTATAATTTCTGTTCATTCTATCAATAGATGCATTCTATGTAGAAGTAGATCATATTGCATGTACCTATTGTAAAAACGAGTCTATGGCTAGGACCATTACCAGTATTTAATTGCCCAGTACATTTGTTTTAATAATATAATGAAGTATTTGACATTATAAAGAAACTGAGCATTTCAAAATGACTGCTTTTGAACCATTCGGCATCAGAAGAAATAAAAATATTTATTTATAAATTCAGCTGCCCAAATGAATAAAAAAATCTCATTGAGACAAAATGTAACCCGTCAATTTTTAAAAGTCTTTTTTTTTAATTTTGATAATCATGAATTGAAATAGGAAACATTAAGTTCAGGCAAGAGAAAATGAATTACTATAAATAGAGAATAAAACTGATGTTGGAATACATCAAGTTTTGAAGTTTGTGATTAGGACAGTTTTCAAGTGTAATAAGAATAATCAAAATATGAATATAACTGCTATAAAGTTTTTCAGCTAAAATTTACTTCTGGTATTAGGCCTATACATGTTATACATGTAAATTAAGTGAAACTTACAACTTTTTAAAGTCTCATACCCTACAGTTGATTTGGATTTTAATTTTCTGATTTTTAAAATTAGGGAATTTATGAAAACACGCTTTTGTATGTTGAAAAAAAGTGAACTTGCCCACTTAATTTCAACTTATTTTATTGTTGTTCTTTATGGTCTACGGGACCATACCTGGCTACCTGCAAGAGAAATATATAGCCTATTACTAAAGTCGTCACAAACATATTCAGAATAAAACAATGGAAAATAATGTACCACAGAAAAGTAATGTAGAAAAGCAAACTAGTTTTTTTTAAGAAATTGTCATCATTTATTTAATATTTTTTCTGTAATGAATAAAGTGACATTTCCATTTTCTATTTCTTCTTAAACCTATAACCCATTAATTTGAAAACATAAAGATGAATTGATATGTAAATTTTACACGATTCGCTTTCCTTTAATAATCACAAATAGAAGCTATATACTCGTCTATCTTCTTTCGTTTTGTTTATGTAGTGAGTAAAAAGCGGGAAAAGGGTAAATAATGTACATAACAATGCTATCTAAGTCAGAACAGTTTTGATTCAATAAATCATTCAGGGCTACTTATTCAATTCATCATTCAGATTCAGAGCTACTGATTCAATAAATCATTCAGAGCTACTGATTTCATTCATCATTCTGGGCTACTAATTCAGTTAATCATTCAGATTCAGAGGTACTGATTCAGTAAATCATTCAGAGGTACTGATTCAATAAATCATTCAGAGCTACTGATTCAATTCATCATTCAGAGCTACTGATTTCATTCATCATTCTGGGCTACTAATTCAGTTAATCATTCAGATTCAGAGGTACTGATTCAATAAATCATTCAGAGGTACTGATTCAATAAATCATTCAGAGCTACTGATTCAATTCATCATTCAGAGCTACTGATTTCATTCATCATTCTGGGCTACTAATTCAGTTAATCATTCAGATTCAGAGGTACTGATTCAATTCATCATTCAGAGCTACTAATTTAGTGCTACCGATTCAATTAATCATTAATAGCTACTGATTCAATAAATGATTCAGAGCTCTTGATTCAATTGATCATTCAGAGCTATTGATTCAATTAATCATTCAGAGCTACTGATTTCATTCATCATTCTGGGCTACTAATTCAGTTAATCATTCAGATTCAGAGCTACTGATTCAATTTATCGCCCAGAGCTCTTGATTCAATTGATCATTCAGAGCTATTGATTCAATTAATCATTCAGAGCTACTGATTTCATTCATCATTCTGGGCTAATAATTCAGTTAATCATTCAGATTCAGAGCTACTGATTCAATTTATCGCCCAGAGCTCTTGATTCAATTGATCATTCAGAGCTATTGATTCAATTAATCATTCAGAGCCACTGATTTCATTCATCATTCTGGGCTACTAATTTAATTAATCATTCAGATTCAGAGCTACTGATTCAATTAATCATTCAGAGCTACTTAATACGCATTATATATAACCTTCGCAATAAGCAATTGTCATGTTTGTTACCATGTATGTTGTTAATTGAATTTCTTTGAAGGAATCGGGTGCCGAATCTGAAACAAGGAAAGTTAAACAGACAGCTACCTCTGACGACGATGAAGCTGAAATTCAACGCCGATTAATTGGTGGAAAGAAAGGGAAGGACTACATTGTATGTATTTGTCAGAATTTCAAGTTAGAACCGCTCCTAATTTAAATCTTAGCAGAAACGTTTTTCAAATTAATAAAGTTGATTTGAATTAGAATTGATGACCAATTATAAGCACTAGTAAAGTAAAATCATGACGATAAGAGATCTTAAAGGGGATGCAAGATTATTAATTTTGTTAATAAAATATAAAAATATGGCACTGTTTATGTTTGTTACTGTATGTTCTTAGTATATTTGATTGCTTTTAAAAATATTTCAACTCTCGTACATATGATTTGTATATATGGAACATTTCGTTTAAATCCAGCAGATATCAACACCTTTTTTAAATTTCCAGACTAAAGGAGGTCTCACAACAGTGCTAGTTTCTAGAGAAGAAGAGGAACGGAAACGACAAAAAATAAACAGCAAGAGCAAGAAGCAAAAAATGAGGAAACTTGCAAAGAAAAAGACAAGAAAGTTTGGTGTCAAGGGTACCAAAGGAGGTGGAAATCAGATAGGTTCTGATGACGACTTTGGATCGTCAGATGACGAAAAGCGAAGAAGAGGTCTCAGGGAAGCTCCATTCTTGAAACAATACGAGGACAAGAAACATATAGAACATATATTAGAAGAGCAACATTACTGGAGCGATCCTGAAGCTGATAAAGATGCTTTCAGAATTGATGACGTACGTATAAAGAATTACTTTAACCTTCGTCTAAAAAATTGTTAGTTCCGCAAATTACACTTATTTTAATCTGTAAGTCAATGTAACAAATCAGATATAGTTTTTATCTATTTATATTTAGAAAATATACCTAAAATTGTTTACTTTTGATATCACATTAAGGCTAAGTAATTTTAGCGTTACGAATATCATAAATGTTATCTGCTTATTTAGATGTGAGCGTGCTTAAAATGTCACTTTTGTACTATACAAGAATTATGAATATGTTAAATTTGTAACATAATTATCACATTTGTTTATCATGTATGTAGAAGATATTCCGTTGAATAACATTCACTGTGCACATATTTGATATTTGATATTTATTTCATATATTATTAAGGACATCTTTTTTTATTAAATTTTCTATCGTTTTTCCCTATACGTATTATCTTAACCATTATTTGATATTAACTATAACTGTAGGAAATGAGCAGTGTATTCAACAGTGACTTTTCATCTGATAGCGAGGAAGAAATTATCGGAGCTGACGGTATTCCAGTACGTGTTAAGAAATCGAAACACGACAAAAGAAGGAAAAGGGGTGACGATGACGACATAAGCAATGCTGATTCTGAGTATTTGAGACTTAAAATGCTAAAACGTGCTGGATCTGTCGACAGCATGATATCTGTAGAGGACCCTGAAACAAAAGATGACAGAAAATCAAAACGAAAACTCAATGAACATGTTATTAAGACGGATAATGATGATGATATAACTGAAGGCAAAGGAAAATCAAAGACTAGAGATAATGATGGTAATAAGCATGATAATAAAGATGATAAAGATGAACAAGAACGCACTGGCGATAAATATATGAAATCTGACACTATTGCAAATACTAAATTATCTTCGAAAAGAACCAAAACTATTCTTGTCAAGGAACATTCTGATATGACTGATGATTCATTAAACGAGAAAGATAGAAACCATAAAAATAAGAATAAAATGGCATCAAACGGTAAAGAAAATGAAGGTGATTTAAGTGATTTCTGTGATACTGATATAGATAAGCTAAGTGACAAAGACAGTGGTATGGACGACGAGGAAGGTGATATAGATGTTCTCTTGACAAATGATCAGCAGCAAATGATTGTCAACATGCTATTCGATGAAGATATGAACTTGAGGCCACAGTTTTATAGGGATGATCATGGGAGAATTGTAGTAAGTTCTTGACATAATTATGGTTTTGGCACTATAATCATGATAAAAAATATTATATTTATCGTATATATGAATGAATAGAAGAACACATGTTACTATATAAAGTGAACATCAGTTCAACAGGCCTGACCAATGAAATCCTTAATTGTTTCTGTTTTATATGAAATGAGTTGTTAACTATTTCAGAGACGCCTAGATAACACTGTTGTTTATGATCCTCATACTGGAAGATTTACCTATAGAAAAAGATTAGGACAAATATTCAAAGTTCCACGGCTTAAAAGGAATGACAAAGGGCGACCACTTGGGGTAAATTTTATTTAAAAAATTCTGTGATTATAAATAGGTACATAATGCGTGATATACCGATTTCTATTTTTTTTGATATATTAGTTTTGAAAGTAATGAAATAAATTTCTGAAACTAAGTCGACCCATTTTTATTTGTTTAATGCTTACATCGTCTTCTATGTAGGGCTATATTGATGATGAATTTGGACCAAAAGCTGATCAGAAAAACACTCGAAGAGTCACTAGTAGTGCTAGAAGATCTCAAAGCGGCAAAAGTGGGAGATTCTCAGTTAACACAAGGTCACCTTCAGCGGACTTAGTAAGTTTCGGCTTGTATTTTAGATATTATATGTTTTCAAGAATGCGTAGTCATACTTTTTCTTCTTTTCAATATTATATCTAGCGTCTTAAGAACCACAGTCACGCAGAAATGCACCGATCAAAAATAGGTAAGGCTCAAATGCCAAAACTAGAAGAGGTATATCAATAATCGATTGCATTAAAATAACGATTATGCCAAATATTAATACATAATGCTGTGAACAAAGAATACCAACCTTGCAATACTGTTTTTGATGTCTCTTGATATTCTTAAAACATTGTTATACCAAACCCAGCCTGCAACATTTTTTAATTGTGTCGTGTTGGACGATCTTCAATGTTTCCTTTCTTATGTCTAGTTCATACTTAACTACATGTATATCATTTTTTTGCAGAAACGAATAAGAACCGACGGACGAAATGTCGGGTTTTCTGTACCTGACGAAGACATTGACACGATTCCAGACGACGATCTTGAATACAACAAAAGGGTATACCTATCTATGAAATACTTTCAGCAGAGTAAAATTTATAAGTTTTTTTTTTCAAAAATGATATCATCACAAATAACGTTATAAATCTCCATGGTAGTTTTTGTGTAAATAGAGTAATGATCGACGTATCTCGCTTTAACTGCCTGGGAAATTAAACTGTCCCACTGAATTTATTTCAAATATTTTCACGGGATTAGATAGTTTTACTTGGATACAAATGTTTATTGTATCTGTTTTTTGTGAAAAGGTGTAAATCTTAAGTCAGTTTAAAGATTGTCTTGAATAAAGGGAGGAAACATTCAAAATAAAATTAATTTAAAACTCATCATTTCAAAAACAGTTGAAGAGGTTACACTAACGGTAACCGAACACAAATCATGCCTACATATTATATTTAAAAGCTCCATATCCGAGTGATTCAGGTTGGTTATCCTGAATCACTTGTGTATATTTCATGCTGATTATATGAGCCGCGTCACGACAAAACCAACATAGTACGTTTGCGACCAGCATGGATCAAGACCAGCCTGCGCATGCGCGCAGTCTGATCAGGATCCATGCTGTTTGTTATCAGTTTCTCTACTTGTAATAGGGTTGGTAAGCGAACAGCATGGCGTATGCTCAGGCTGGTCTGGATCCATGCTGGTCATAAACCCATTATGTTGGTTTTGTCATGACGCGGCTCATATATAATTGAACTTATTTGTTATTATCACTTTCAAGGGACGTAGAGATATTGGATCGGCATTACGGCGACAACTGAATAAGAGGTTGTTTAGAAAGAAAAGAAAACACGGGCCTAGAGGCTCACCTGGGGCCTTACCGGAAGTTAAAGTCAGGAAAGCTTGGGGAGATGAGGACCATCTCGCTGTAGGTTTTCTTTTATCTTTATCAGTCAATTAAGAGGTTTATATGGTCAAGTTCATATTAAAAAGTAAGAAATGCTTACAATCAAATGAAATTATTTGCTAAAAGAAATCATTTCATCACCTATATTGTTTGACGATATGTGTAAAAGCATAAGTATATGATTGATCGTATTAAAATTAATTTGAAAATGACGGTATGTTACATGTACATATGTTTACTCAAACAGATTAAATCAAAATACATGTATTGTTTGCTTATTTAAATAACCCAATTAGCATATTATTCGTATTTGTAGAATGGAAAACTTGTCATGACCGGTTCAGGCGGTGTGAGCCATTTGAACTATCGAGGTAGTGGCAGATTTGGTCAGGGAAGTCCATGGGCACAACGCAAAACGCCGGCCGCTGGAGACGCTGAACAATGGCAAATGTATAGAGATGGCCTTCAGAGTGACAGAAGAATTTTAGAAAATCTTCAAGATAAATTAAATACAGGAGATGGTCAGTTATGCAATGTGTTTAATTTAAGAAATTTAAAGATATTTCTCCTTATTCTACATTAAATTATTTATCAACATTATTTTTTTTTCCAAAGCTGTTCAGTTTTTCAAATGATTTTTAATAGATTTAAATATCTAAACTTTGATGAATACTTAGTTGTAGTGCTCTTTCTTAAAAAGAAAACTAAAAATAACAAAATAGGAACAACAACCACCACCCCTGTAAAACAACTTAATTATGTTTGCAAGCAATGAATCAATGAAGCTTGATTGCTCGTGAGAATTGTTATGTGACAAAAATATTACTTTTCCCTTTTTTTATCAGGACCTTTTGCACCAAGAGAAGCATTTGTTGAATCCAGTACGGAAGTAAATGGTGATCAAGAACATCATGTAAATATTTTTTCTTCAAATATTTCAAGACATATTTTTCTAATAAGAGTGCAATTTTTGTGTTTACAACATATTGCGTGTGCTTCTTTCAGCCGCATAATTAAATTCTCTAATTAATGTCTGACTCATTATTTAAAAAACATACGTATTGCTAACAAGTTATATTTTCTTATAGATACAGCAATTATTTAAATATCACATACAGGGTATTGTAAATTCTTTGGATTTTATCATAAACCAATTGAAAGCATATAAAGCATACAGGACATCATAGTTTTTGTTTTGTTTTTTTATTTCAAATATACAGGGCCATGAACATAATGACGATTACGACAGAGGACATTCGTTCTTAAATGAAGACGGGAAACTTGTAATACGTGAACGTGGTTGTCCTGAATTGAAGGTGGGTATGATTATTTAGTCGGTTTAGCTTTTATTGTTACTAATCCACTCGAAAAATTTCTTTAATCCATTAAGACCGTGAAGTAGTGTTTCAAAATTTTTGTTTGTAGCTCTCAAGTCATATTTTAAAGACACAATGTCATTTAAGATTGAGATAATAAACATGCTATCATCAGTAATTTGTTCAGGTGAACTAAAGAAGTGTTTTGAATTTCATTAGTTAAAAATTAAATTATATAAGAAGGGATCTGCAATATACACAGTGTAACTGTTCAAACTGATGTGTCTTTAAAAATTTATGATCGACTTTTTTTTAAGCAACAAAAAGTACCCTTCTTTACTATCGTTCGACGACCGGGTGATTTGGAATCAAATGAGCACTTAAATGGTACAGTGACTGAAACAAGAGATGTGAAATCGGCACCTTTACAAGTACAAGATTATAACGGTGAACAGAACGAGCATAGTTCGAATGAGGGAAGCAGGTACACGTCTGATAATAACCTAGGCAACAGAAGCAATGATGGACGATATAGTCAGATGACCAGTATTGATGATAATAGGTTGAGAAGATTATTGGAGGAACTGTACAAGGACAAGAAATATTTTGATAGTTATGTTGAATCAAAAGGTATATACTTTTAACATTAGTAAATAAGTTTTTGTTTGATTTCGAGCATTCGAATGCCAAGTACTGTGTGTGTCCCTTTTGATAAGCTCAACTGGCGCTGAGAGATAAACAGAACGGCCAGACAAGGCATAAGCTACAGTCAATTTTAATATCATTTATGATTTAGTTTCTGGAGAAAACTTGGCTGATATTGAAAACTTCTAAAGACTCATCGATTATAAATACCCACATAGAATATTAAAAAAATCACATGTTCTCATTTTGTGCGTTTATCTTTGTACCTTTGTGAAAATGTTTAAATTAAATGCATATAAATGACAAAAGTAATAGTTTAAAGTGCAATATATAAACTTGTATATAAACTAATGATTGACATTATCTATATCTTTGATATTTTTGGATCAAAACCCATTGACACCATTAATGGTAATATTTTACAGATCCACAATCGCAGGAGTTTTTACACTCTCAAGGTCTTGCTGAGCACGGACGTGGATATCTCCTGAAACGCGCCGATTACTGGGAAAGGCGCGGGCCTCTCCCTCCTCGTCCACCAATGACAGCCATCGGTTTGAAGATGCAACGCCAGCAAACACTTGCGGCTTCGAGGCAAGCATCTGAGATGGGCTATTCTACCATGACAGGCACACCTGACATTTCGAACTCATGTATGCCTGGTGTTGTCGAGAGCCCTAGAGAAAATAGAACGATTTCTGAAAGAAATGAATCCAGAAACACCCAAGATGAATCATTTGCATGAAGTGACTTTATTGTAAAATTATTGAGTAGTTTATTATTGTAGAGTATCATGTGTTATGTAACAAGGCATGCAGATAAGGTCAAGTACGAGGTGCAGATCTTGCAAATTGTTGATTTATGTATTCGTTCGACATATGATCAAAGTAAAATGCAATAACACAGTCTTGCTCGTAACAGAACTCTGATGATGTTACAGTTTGGTATAAAAGACAATTTGTTTAATGGTGTTAACATTTCATGTTCAATGTCTGACACATTGCTGACTTACGTTTGAACTTTGTGCTCTTTTTACAATATCTGTGATATTTTTTATTTGCAAATATGTGAAATTACCTATTAGTATTTTATTTAATTACGTATTATCTTCTTGCTTATTCTTTTGTTATTCAATATTTATATTACTGATTTTTTAAGTTGTTCAGCTTTGAAAAATAAAACCATGATCACTTCTGCTGAGTATTTCATTATTTACACTCATTTGCTTACTCCTTTTGCAAGATACTAAATTTCACACAGTCATTCGAAACAGTTTTAGTTCTTTTATCAGAGCGTTATTTAATATATGATATTGTCTAGACAGCACTGGAAAAGAGTTTATTTCATGTAATAGCCATTTAAAATAAGGCATATAAATGTTTACACACATACATGGTTCGTTTATTGGACTTCTCTCTTGTGACAACTAAGTTTTCTTACCTAAAATTAAAACCAATTTAGCATGTACGACTGTTTAATTCTTATTTATTTCTTTTATTCGAAAAAAGTCACGAGTACATGGCAAAATGATCGGATATACTAGTAATCATTTCTAATACAAAGTCGACGTATTCTGAAGCTCCATAAAAATGCACTTTATTATAGCTAATTAACAATATGCATGTTAAAATGATAAAATAAATACGAAGACATATAAAAAAAACAATGGGAATATATACAAAGAATGATTTATGCATTAAAGACTGTACAAGCAAAAAGCATACATCAGTATTCGTTTTTTAAGCAAATAAATTCACTAAACACTTGCTTATCAAACAATTAGTTCGGAAAAAATTAAAGACTTCTTATCGCCTCATGGTGTGACAGATCATCTTTAGATAAAATATCATGTTAATGCACATAACTACCACATTGTTATTCTTGTATCAGTAAAATATATATTCAATCATCACTTCTTTTTCTTCTTCCCGCTCTTTTTATCTCTTCTGCCTCCATCTTTACCCTCTTCCGCTTTTTTTGTTACCTTTCTTATTTGTTCTGTTATTACTTCGTTTCATAGAAGAAACTGGCAATAATGATGGGGGTCTTGTCAACCCGGCATCAGTTTTAGATATACTAGCTTCGGTGGGCCATTAATGATGGTATCTTTAAATGTAAGTCAGTTTTATCCGTAGGAATATAAACTGCAACTTTCACATGTTCAGCTTCTTGCAAGCCCAGTGTCGTTTTCTCCCTTTTTGGCATTGTCTTTGCTCTTTCTATAGGTTGAGTTCGTTTGTGTTTTTTTTTCAAATTCAATATGTAATTTTCAAATATGCATATAACCATTTTTTAGAATGTTAGGACATATACAAGAACATAAACATATACAAGGATATAAAACTTTAAAGACCTATCAATGTTCCATACCATCTGTAAATGTAACTTCGCCATTTCCTAATATATATTTTTGAGGCCCTTTGAGGATAACGCCTTTTATTTTGAACATAGATAAATGAGCCGAGCCATGACAAAACCAACATAATGGGTTTGCGACCAGCATGGATCCAGACCAGCCTGTGCATTCGCGCAGTCTGATCAGGATCCATGCTGTTCGCTTACCAACCCTATTACAATTAGAGAAACTGATAGCGAACAGCATGGATCCTGATCAGACTGCGCGGATGCGCAGGCTGGTCTGGATACATGCTTGTCGCAAACGCACTATGTTGGTTTTGTCGTGACGCGGCTCAAATATTATCATACAGACAAACAAACATACAAAAACACAAAGATATATCATTCGAACAAACAAACAAACACACACACAAGGTTCATTAAACAAGAGCGCGATGATGGCCCAAGATCGCTCACCTGACACATCGAACTCATCCGAACAATTAACTAGACAAGCATTCTGACCAAGTTTCATGACAGGTGAGTCAAAAATGTGACCACAAGAGTGTTAACAAGGATTTTCTATATTTGAGCAGTGTGACCTAGTTTTTTGTACCCAGGTGACCCATATTCGAACTTGACCTAGAAAACATCAAAATGAACTTTCAGACCAATTTCCAGGATACTTGGATCAAAACAGTAGCCACTAGAGTGACTTTTCTTTTTTTAGATCCGGTGACCTAGTTTTTCATGCGAGATGACCCATGTTCTAACTTATCCGAGCAATGACCTACATAAGCATTCTGACCAAGTTTGATGATAATTGAGTCAAAAATGTGACCAATAGAGTGTTAACAAGGTTTTTCCATATTTGGGCATTGTGACCTAGTTTTTCATTCGAGATGACCCATGTTCAAACTTGACCTAGATATTATTAAAGCAAACTTTCGGACCAATTTATAGGATATTTGGATCAAAACAGTAGCCACTAGAGTGTTTATAAGATTTTTCTATTTTTAGCTCCTGGGACCTAGTTTTTCATTCGAGATAACTCATGTTCGAACTCATCTGAGCAATGACCTAGACAAGCATCCTGACCAAGTTTGATGATAATTGAATCAAAAATGTGACCACTAGAATGTTCACAAGGTTTTTCCATATTTGAGCAGTGTGACCCAGTTTTTTTCGAGATGACCCATATCCGAACTTTACCTAGAAATCATCAAAACAAATTTTCAGACTTTTCAATAGGATATTTGGATCAAAACAGTAGCCACTAGAGTGTTAACAAGATTTTTCTATTTTTAGCTCCGGCGACTTAGTTTATCATCCGAGATGACCAATGTTCGAACTCATCCGATCTATCACCTAGACAAGCATCCTGGCAAAATTTAATAATGATGGAGGTAAAAAAATGTAACCGCTAGAGTGTTAACAAGGTTTCTCTATTTTTAGCTCCGGTGACCCAGTTTTTTTATCCAAGATGACCAATGTTCGAACTCATCCAAGCTATCAACTAGATAAGCATTCTTACAAAGTTTGATGATGATTGAGGTAAAAATGTGACCACTAGAGTGTTAACGAACAAGTGTGGACGGACGACGGACGATTGACGACGGACGACGGACATTCAACGATGCTAAAAGCTCACCCTGAGCTAGCTCAGGTGAGCTAAAAATGAGCCTGTGATTAATGTAAAATCTCTTAACTTTTCTACATATAGTTTTGAAGCCTGTAGTCTAATGAATGAAAAGTGTTTCTAGTCATATTGTAAAAAATAATAATAATACATAATCAATAATACAATGTCCACACTAACATACTTATCATGAAATGAAGAAATGAAAATATAGTTCATTTTTTCCTAATTAATAAAATTTAAAGAATGTAGGTTAAAGTCCCTAATCTTTTCACACAAGCTGATGATAAACAGATGTGTTGGGATAAATATGAATATATGAATTCAGAACAGAGCACATGTACACAGCAAGACTGGTTATTGCATTCATCCGATTAAAATCTCCAGAACATGTTACTCATTTAGTTGTGCAACTATTTACCTATTATCAAACATTCTGGTGTGTTTTTGTGTGGGTGTTTTTTTTTTTTTTTGTTGTTGGGTTTTTTTTTTTTGCTTTTATTTCTTTTATTTTATCCTTTTGTTATTCAAATTTTTCTTTTTCATATCAAAATCGTTAATATATATAGAATATATGTGATATAAGTCTATAATTGTAGTTTTTGTTAATAACTGGCGCTTTTCCCGCCTCGTTTAGCCGTCGTTGATTTCTGATATTGTTAGGGTTGTGTTCTGTGATGATATTTTTGTCTCATTTTTAGATATACTCGCCAATAGTTTAAAACATAGGCTTTTTGTCATCATTGTCATCTTGAGACTTGACTTTGATTTCATGTGCAGATGATTTTTCCGACTTCTTGTCAGAGTCTATACTTGTTGTTGCCTGTCTTTGAAAGGAACTTTCCTCCCTAGTTAGTGTCATGGTTGAGGAGCGTGTAATTGCACTTATCGACGTATTTTCTCTCGTCAACTCTGCTTTTGAAGTTTCGTTTATTGTCTCGACATCAGTGCTTGTGCCATCTAATATATGATTAAGAATATGCTACCATTATTTTATATCAAATCGGGCTTTATTTATGCAAAGGTTATACAATATTTCAATATGAAATATTTTAATATATCACAAAACAGAACAAAGGAAGTTTATAATGTCATACTCTGTAATAAAATTTACATATTCTGCATTGTATATTTTGATTCAGCTTGCTATCTGTATAAAAAGATAAACCTCAACAAATTGAACATCATATTTTAAAAATCTGCCAGTTTATATGTTGAACAAAAGTTTGGCTTCCACTCCTATTCTCATTGTTTTTGTTGGTGTTTTGATGAATTTGTTTTGTTCAATTTTTAAGATAATAATAGCTATTACTTACTTGACATAATTGTTTTTTCTGCTTCTAATGTATCAGATTTTTTTACACAACAACAGCATACTTTACTGCGGCAAAATGGCCAACATGGGGTTTTGTCAAGACATTTATCCAAATGACCACAAATTGTTACACAGTGTCCACGTTTGTTCAGGATGATGCTGACCACGACAACGGCAATAATGATGACAAGGAGAACAACGACCACAACGATGATGACAACGTTGCTACTACTATCAGAAGCAGAAGTTGGGGCTGAATAATTATAATAATACTCATCATAAAGTAATGATATTAAATGATAATGATGGTTGTGATGAAGATTGTGGTGATGATGATAATAATAATGATGATGATGATTTTACAAATAAATATATAAATCATCGAATGAAACACATATATAAAAATATATAATGAGATTGGTGAAGTGTAATTCATTCCAAGGAGATAATTTTATATCACCTTAAACTTTAAAAATGTTAAGTAACTTTGTTAGGATGAGCATGCATTGAAATCATTGCTGATTGTCTTTTGAATAAATTATGACTTAATTAAAATGATAAAAGTCAACGATACAACTCTAATATTTAGAAGTAAGAGTTTTAAAATAGCATTTTTAATTTAATGTGTATGCAAAACATTTATCTCACTTATCCAAAAATAAAAATACGATATGATAATTATAAATGAATCTTACCACTGTCAACTGAAAGTAAAAAAGTAAAAAGTAAAATTCAGAACTTCTTTATCTCGCAATGTCAATGTATAAAAACTGACATATTCTAAATATATTAAGAAGGAAAAGTTTTAAAGTAGCATATTTTGAATTTATTGGTCTATGCAAAACAGTTCTCTCAGTTATCCAACAATTAAAATACGATATGAAAAATATAAATGAATCTTACAACAGTCAACTGAAAGTTA